AATGCTATCCTAAAAGGAGATAAATATTCCTTCAATATTGTCCATCTCGGATAATATTGGCAGGGGAATTATCACGCTAGACAATTCTCTATTGACACTGTTCGGTGTCAATATCGTGTAACGGACTGCGCCGTTATAGGAAGTCCTGCAAGCTAGACGTGTTTGTTGTAGTCGGCTGGTATCGATAAAAGGGAGAAGTGGCGTAATCGTAGTGTTTATGGCGATGACATCTGCTGCAAAAGAACTCTGTACGTCAGAAAAGTCTCCAGGAAATGTTCGAATGACAATCTGAATGTGCAAATTATGCGGGAGAAATTATCTTGGAGCTATTAATTGAGCTTGACGCTGCGCGAAATCAAGCGTTTGGGAGACTTGCAGCAATAGAAAGTATCACCAGCAGATGTCGTCATATGTAACAAGGTGTACGAGTTGTATCGAGAACTGATTAAGTAATGCGAAAAGCTTGTAGGGATCCAAATTCGAAGGAGCATCGTGTACGCCCTAAAAAATGCCCTTCAAGGTAACTACTGGGTGCGGCTAGTTACAATCGCGTTCGTGTTCAGCTGGAGAGAGATACAGAGAGTATCAAAAAAAGGTTGCATTCCTGCTGCATGTAATCCTGGCAAGACTCGGGAGTCTAGACGTGCAATCATCATCATTCGGTTCACACCGATTTTTTAGAGGGCACGACCAAGGATGTTAGGTAAAAAGTTCCTGCTCACATCCTTTTACTTTAAACCAGATTTAGACATCGTGAAAAAGGCCCCATTTATAAATAAACTTTTAACCATTATTTACTTGTTATCAGTCAAGGGTATAAATGGGATGTTGCGCTGCAACCACCCCCACATTTCGTCGCCCACCCGTTAATTCCGAGCCTCGAAAAGAAGGAGGCTTGTCACGGGTAGAAACCATGGCCTGCCATCTAAGCTTTAGTCTTTGAGGCCCATTGTTCCCGCGATGAGCTTATACATGCTTTCTTTGCCATGCTATATATTCTAACACCTTCTTTGCGAGTTAAAGATCAATGTTGCTCCCAATAGGACGTCTTCATCTTCCGGTGTGGGCGTTCTTTGGGATGGCGAAATGGGCCAGAGGAAAATCAAGCCAAGTGCAGCTACCGTTCACTTGGTTTGCAACCTCAATTAATCTGCATGGAGGTTCAAATTCCACAGGTATTCCGCGTTGTCCTGCTAACCGTTTGCGATCTCTTTGCTAGTAAATAGCACGACAAAGTCGTGTACAGATGCTCCTATTGATGCAAAGTTTAAGGCTGAGAATCTCTTTAAAAACCTGTTGGACAAAAAAGGTTTGGTGCGTGCTTTGTGCATGCAGATCTCTATTCTTCTACATAGTGACATTCAAATTTCGTCCGGCACGATTTTATATCGCAAATTATTATGTTCACCCGACCCGACCACTCTACCATAGAGAGAAACTGCTTCGTGAAACTGTAATAATACATGTAAAACTGTTTAAAGTTGAAGGAAACTACATAAATGGTAAAGATTTAAAGCTGCTAAAAATTGGTAGTAAGTGGTAGCTAGTAGGGATAACTTTAACAAATTGGTAAAATATATCTATAAATGTTATAAGTCACGAAGATTTACCTAATAACTTTACGTACGACGTAGGCGATTGCGGAATGCAGTCGAAAAGATCGGCCTTCCATCATAGTATTTCTGTACTTTCTGCGATGATGCGAGGATATTTCAAGGCCTGACGACACGTCAATGAAAGCTACAGTAAGTGACGACGTAGGCTTCGCAACATCATCGCGCTTCAATCGATCTTTTGATACAAGTCACGCGTGCTTCTAAATCCAAAACCATCTTGTTGAAGCTTAGCCGAACCGCAAATATTTGTTTGGGTTGTTACGAGCGCTCGCTACGCGTCGATAGAAATGAAGTCATCCAATTTTCGACATTGGATCAGACGTGGGGATTGCGACTGCCACAGAGGACCGTATTGGACAAAGTTGCTTGCTAGACGCCACGAGTGCGAGCGGTTAGGATTCGCGTGGGCGTTTAAAATCGACAAGGCGAGGATCCTGCTTGTGCTGACGCCAGTGAAACGTCAAGCTTTTTTTTGCGGCTGCTGCTGATTCGCTGAAAGTCAGGATCGCTTTTTGACAAATCGCTAGCAACGGCGGACAGGTTCAGAATTTAATACCGACACTTTTGATTCGTCTAAAGCACGGATCTAGTATTTGAAGGATAAAAAATTATACTTTTTAATACATGCACACATGCAGTGCTTGTGCTGCTTCGTACTAGCACACTTGTAGCCATGTCCACATGTCTTCGCGTGCTCTGCTAGACCAGAGCATAAGCACAGCGGACGAATCGCGCTGCAACAGGAACCTTCCGTCCTAACTAGAAACAATTAGCACTTTTGTCAGCGTTTATCTGTAGTGTAGGTACGCTGTGTATAGATGAAGAGATATTTCAGAGTGTCTATTTACGTTCCGTTATGCCATGTGCAAGATCTCTGGCATAACCTAGACCAGGAAGTAAGCACTGGTGGACCCGGGGATTTTTGTGGCCGGTGCCAGTAACCACTGGCAATAATCTTGGTTCGCGTTCCAGCAACTCGATGCAGGCATGCAGCAATGCCCCAGTTATTGCCGACGCTACTTGTTGATGCTGCCGCTTCGCTAATGCTAAAAGCTGGCGGATGCACGAGGCGCAAAAACTCTCGGTCCCTCGTGTATTATTGATACGCTCTGCCCGGAAGACTGCTGCAATTTGGTTAGTCCAAATTTTCGTCTGGCACATCGTCGTGAGAATGTGCCAGATGGTCGTCCATACAAGGGTGGCCAAGGCCATATCGTCCTAAAAATTTCGGTGAAGAAAGTCATCCGGTGTGAAGGTATTCTAGGATCCTGTCTACTGGCGCAGGCGTCCAGGGACTGGTGGTTCCGCAGACGGGACGCTCGTTCTCCTGTCCAGTGCTCGATGAGTTTAGTTCAGAGGGCAGCGGTGCGGTTGCACTCCCAAAAGAGATGCTAGATAGTCTCGACACACCCGTGACAGGCTGATGCCTTTCTGCAACTGTTGTCCTTAAGACGTGACGCATGGTAAAGGCCCAGACTTGATAGTGAGAGAGTCCATGACTATGGTCCCACACTTGCTGCGGAGGCGCTCTGCCACTCGTCCGTAAGAGCCCTGGCGTCGATACGGGTAAGATAATCTAGTAGGGGGCAGGAGAACACTGTCTTGTGAAACCTGAAAGCCTGGCGATCGAGATCCTGAGTGATGTGGTTGTTGGACGTGGTGTCCGGAACGAACCAAGGAAAACGGTGCAACAGCGGTTCGCCTAAAAAAAAAGAGCCCCCGTGTCAGGAGTTTGCAGCGATTCGCCCGTCGAGCGTTTGCAGAATCGGCGATATGCTCCGGCACCGACCCATAAAAAAACTAGTGCAGCCCGTCACTTGCTTTTTCAAAGTAAAGTCCGCCGTCGGATCCGCGACCTATACGATGGTGTTCCTTCACTGATTCCGGCGCTTTGCATTCGCCAGGTGTAGCGTTCCGTGAGCGATGGTGTATGTCGGAGTAGCAGTGATGGCTGCTCGTTGAACGCCGCCCCAATGGGTAATTCTAGGGAGGATAACAGCAAGCTTTCGCCCACCTCCGTACTTAATCGGCCGATTGAGAACCAAGGAGGTGTTGCTTTAGAGGCATGGTCAACACGAATTTTGTCGGCGCTGTGTACAGGTGGAGCAAGCGGCCTTCATAGTATCAGATCCGGTTCACAACCAAAGAAGGCATTTGGTATCGGATGGCGACGACAATGGTGTCTGTCTGTCATCCTCTGTCTTGCGCAAAGGGTTCGTGTTTAAAGAAGGGCCCGGAGTAGGAGAGCGCGTGACGATGTTGAAGTAAATCACAGATCTGGCACTGACCAAATGCAAACATTGCAAAAAATTTACCAACAGCATAATCAGTCCCACGTCGTGACGGAAATTAACATGTGTCACGCTATTCTATGGGTGACATGATTATTGTAAGTCACAAAGTGTTAAAAGTAGTATTGACATGAAATAAAAATTATCATTGCATTATATGTCCGGCGAAAACGCAGCCATCGACATGGGCGTGGTTCGTGCGCCGTTGAATTGATCTTGTCCATCACAACGAAAAGATCGCTGCAAAAAATGTTTGACTGGTGACGTGTATGATCCATTGATGGTCCTGCAGCAGCAATTGTCGATTGGCTACAATCACTCGCCGCCGTCGGGGACCGCTGCTTCCTACTATCAGCCAATCATATTCTAGCAACAGTTTAGCTGGTCAAAATCTAACGAGCCCACCGACCCGGCGGCCAGCTGTCCCCTCATCGTAGTGACAACTAGTGACTCTGGCCAAGTCTCCACGTGACATCCAAGCTGAAGCGACCTTTGACCCAGGAGCTCCTTCCCTCTTGCTGCCATTACCTTCACCTGCTGCGGCCGTGATGGTCTACTCTATCCAGGGCGGCTGTATGCAGCGCTCATCTCGCTCACGCTTGCGTCTAATCTCGTGCTCATCCCCGTGCCTCTCCAGCTCATTACGTCGGCCTCTGCCATCGTTTACATTGGCTCGACGCTCTCTCTGAGGCTTCAGCACGCGCGTGTCGCCAGTGGCGAGAAGAACGAGGAAGCGTGAAGGCCAAGGACGCCTACATGTTCCCGCTCATTGGTTCGGGCGTGCTGTTGGGGTTCTATATCCTCTTCAAGGTATTCGACAAGGACCTTGTGAACCTCCTGCTGACTTTGTGCTTGTTGGCGCCTATAGTCCCACCGAGGCGTTCAGTCCACTGGCGCTCTCGCCACTGTTCAGAGGCAGCTCGAAGACGTACACGCGCACCTCGAAAGTGCCGTTCTACGCCCGTACAAGCTCGTGCTGTCGCAAGCTAGGATGCTTACGGTCGTGCTGGCTTCCATCATTGCAGCAGCCTGGTTTCAGACCAAACACTACTAGCTGAACAACATTTCGGTGCCTCTCTGTCGATCAAAGGGAATGAATGCTTTCGCTCGCTACTTTTTAAGTGGGCGCGATCTGCTTTGTGGACTCTTTTTCAATGACATTTTCTGGGTCTTTGGCACGGACGTCATGGTCACGATTGCCACGTCGCTCGATGCGCTGATCAAACTGATCTTCCCATGTAAGTTTGCTACTGATACGAAGAAGCAGAAGAGCTCGATCTTGGGCCTTGGAGACATTGTGATTTCCGGTATCTCAATGGCACTGCTGCTGCGATTCGACGCAAACCGTGCGAATGTAACCAGTAACGACCAGTCGTTACCCAAGCCGTTTTTCCACGTGAACATGCTGTGCTATGTGCTGGGTCTAGTGGCTACAGTTGCGGTCATGTACTTCTTTGATGCGGCACAGCCAGCACTGCTGTACCTTGTGCCGGTGTAACGGGGCACCCTGAAGCTTGTACTGGTGACAGTACAAGCTACTTATTCTGATAACAGAATAAGGCGGTGCCTCGTAACTTCACGTACACTCGTACGTGCAGAGGAAGACGGTAAGAAGAAGCGAGTACTCGGTTAGAGTAAAAAGTAGAACTGTATTTATAATAGTTAATGTCTGCAATAAATCACTATTTATCTTCATCTAACTATGTCTAAATACAAATGTGTAAATCAGTTATCTGCTCACCACTCATTGCGTGCGTCTGTCGTGGCGCGTCTTCGTTGGTTGATATAATGGCCTATATCAACCAATTAGGAACTACTTGGAAGTGCTACAGAATATTGTCCTTATGACAATATTCTGAGAATATAACTCTTATAGTTATATTCTATTAACAATTTCTTATAAATTGTTATGTAACGATTCACCCCGTTACATCACCCCCCTTAACCATCAGTCACTTTAGTGACTGATTGACTAAATGGATACTCGTCCCAAATCATTTGGGACGGGGTTTGCACTTGTTGGTCCGCGTCCACTTTCCAACATCTCATCGCATGGTAAACAAGCCCATGCGATGCGCGAGCAAGGCCGCCGAGAGCGCGTCTGCACGTCTCTGTGCGGACGCCGAAGCAGAAACTACAGCAACTGATATCCCATCGGTTGCTGAATCGACTCAGCCTGTATCACCTGGTGATGCAGGCGCTGGTCATGAAGACACTCGTGTCTTCACAGAGTACGAGCTCGGTGTCTCGTACTCTCCTGATACGGATGACGGATCCGTATCGACGGCAATTGAATCCAAGCCGCCTGCCAAGCGTGGCATGGACGATGCTTTGCGTCGCAGCATCTTTGGTTCATCTGATGAGTCAGATGAACCATCGCCGAAGCGAAGGCGCTCGAGGTCGCGAGACTCGGGCGCTAATAGTGGTGTCGGTTCTCCAATGGACACCACTTCGCAGCGAGGTGCCAGTACTTCTGTCGGCACGTCGCAGGAAGAGCGGGACCGCAATGTGTTGCGTCTCGCTCCAGAAAAGAAGGCATGGATGCCTCCTAAATCCGTCATGGATCACTTGTCGGCGACGACGAGTGATCGTTATCGAACACGATTGTTCGATTCGTCAAGGATTCATCACCTTGACCCCAGCGCGAAAGACTATCGCGCTGAACATGAGTTCTTCATCGATGCTTTCTTCAGACATCGATGGTACAGTGGGAATCACAAACGTGATGGTCCCTCACTACTTCAGGCGTGGAACGCCTACATCCATAATCTCGAGGATGTAGGTCGTGACGCTTGGAACGACAAACTTATCAAAGCTCGTGATAAGTTTGAAAAGCGAACCCCGACAGGTGCACGCTATAAGCTGCATCGTCTGTCAAGGGAGAAAGGATTACCCTGCCTCTCTTGGGGAGACTCGTGCCCATGTTGTGTGAACAACTCTGCACGAGCACCTAAGGAGGCTTACCTCCTTACCAGCCCGTGGTGGCGCGTACGTGTCTCTACTGAGATGTACGAAGGGATTGACAACCTGAAATCCCTTTACGACCGTGCCGGGAAGACTTTCTCCGGCGGTCCTTCTGCGGCACAGGATGTGTCGCGTCGTACTGCTCGACCAGACCCAGTACGTCAACCATCAATTGGGAGCGGGGCTCCCAAGAATCCCAGGACGGGGGATAGCCGCGCCACCGGACGAGGTAACTCGTCCGACGTCCGTTCACGTCGCGGTGGTTCAACAGCTGCTCTACTAGATAGCGCTGGCCACCGCGAGAGTCCTCTAATGGAGGTGGAGGAGGAGGAAAGACGCTCTCCACACGATCATGTGGATCGGTGTGTTCCCGAGAGCTTCTTTGATCGCGTAACGCAAGGGTTACGCGACGATCTCGAGCATGAGCGGAATAGGCGTCTCCAGATGGTGGACACTGCCTCGAAGCATCGAGCTGAGTTTGCCTTTGCTCAGCTTGAGAACGAGAGATCTCTGACATCTCTTCGTGACGAGCTAAGGGTAGCTCGTGGGATTGTTGATCGGTCTCGGGATGAGATAACTGCTCTTCAGACCCTTGTTGATGCCCACCATCGGGAGCACAAGGCTCTCTGCGAGATGCTTGAGCGCAAGGGCGTTCTTCATCGGAAGAAGCAGCGTACTGATGGTACGGCTTAAGCCGACCAACGTAAAACGTGGGATGCGTTCGCATCTTACGTGGTAACTCGATCGTGTATGCATTGCCTAGGCGGTGCAATACACGAAATGGGCCAATGTACTTGGGTAGTAGTTTACTGCTACCCAAGTTAGTCACTACATGTTTTGGTAGATTAACCGTAGACAGTAGGACTAAGTCACCTTTATTAAATAAAAGAGTGTTTGCCCTTCCATTCTTGTCAGCGTTTTGCTTTTGCTTATCCACCGCTTCGGCGATGGAGTCTTGCACAAAACGGACTACCGTTTCACGAGCCAGTATGAACTCATCTGATGACTCGTTAGCTTCAGTGTGCTGTGAGCGCACTGCAGCGACAACAACCTTTTCTTCAGTGAGGGCTTCCGCACTCTCACTGGGATCATTGTCTTCAGTGAGGGCTTCCGCACTCTCACTGGCATCATCTTCTTCGATATCGATGTTATCGATATCGGCATCAAACGCAATGACTTCTTCGTCAGAGCGTGATGAGCGTGAACCAAATCGGTTTTTGCTCGCGCGAGTCCCTCCCCCCTTAAACCAGAGTTACACTCTAGTAAGGTGGGTACACGCGGATGGCGCAAGCCATTCACGTAAAACGGTGTATGTGTCGTGGACGCATGCACCGAGTTGTTGATGGCAAACTCTACCATTGGCAAAAACTCACTCCAACTCTTAAAGGAGTGTACGTATCCTCGAAGTATCTCTTCGAGGACACGGTTGGCACGTTCCGTCTGACCATCTGACTCTGGATGATCAGATGTAGACATCTTCAAGCGCGTTCCGAGTGATTTGAACACGGAACGCCAGAAATCAGCAGTGAATCGTGGATCTCTGTCTGATACGAGTTCACGGGGCAACCCATGAAGTCGGAAGATGGTGTCAATAAAGACACAAGCACAGCCACTTGCCGTGATTGTCTCTGGTACAGCCACAAGGTGTACCATTTTGCTGAATCTGTCAACAAATACGAGAATACCCGTATTCCCGCGTGCGTCTTTGGGTAACCCGAAGACGAAATCCATTGAGATGGATTCCCAGCACTCAGCCGGAACCGGTAGAGGCTGTAAAGGTGCACGCAGTGAAGGACTTGACTTCACTCGTTGGCAGACTTCGCATGCGCGAACATACTTTCGCACAAACTGATACTGGCGGGGCCAGTAAAAGTCTCGACGTACCGTGAGATATGTTTTCTCTCGGCCACGATGTCCTCCTATAGGAGCATCGTGATACTCGAACATGATCCGCAAACGCAGATCAGTATCATCTGGAATGACAACACGTGGTGTGTCACCAGAAACGGCTGTATAGTACAGTAAACCGTTACGAGTAGTGTATCGATCTGATGCAGATCGATACGCAGACGACAATCGTTTCAACGATTCTCGAGATGGTTGGGAGAGATGTGACAACAACTTCACTATCTCACCATCTTGGGCGTATGCCCGCCTCACATCATCATACAACGTTGTAGATGGAACTGAGGACGTCATAACCGCAACAGTGACTGTCTCACTGTTGGGTTTCGCGACTGTTTCAAAGTCGGGACGACGTGAGAGTGCATCAGCGACGACATTAAGTCGTCCTGGTTTGTACTCGACCGTAAAGTTGTATTCTGCAAAGAATGACAACCACCGCGCCATTCGTTGTGAAAGGTGCGGGCTGTTCACTGCCGTGCGTAAGGACGCATGGTCAGTGTAAACAACGAAGGGTCTATCTCCTAATAGATAGACTCTGAACTTCGCGAGTGCATACTTCATGGCAAGGAGTTCCTTGTCATGCACTGGATAGTTCCGCTCAGCTGGTTGCAGCTGACGCGACTGATAGCAGACGACGCGTTCAACGCCTTCAAGGTCGTACTGCATTAATGCACAGCCGATTGCGAAATCGCTGGCATCACAGACCACATGAAATGGCCTGTCCTGATCGGCTATTGCTAGGACTGGGGATTGTATCAAGCTCTGCTTGATACCCTCAAAGGAGCGTTGACATTCAGCGTTCCATAACCACCTCTCGTTCTTTTTCAACAAACGAGAGAGGTGTACAGTCATCTCGGCGTAATTGCGTGAATACTTATGCAAATACGCCGCTAGCCCAAGGAATTTTCGAAGACCTTTGACATCGACCGGCACGGGCCAGTCGGTGATCGCCTTGATCTTTTCGGGATCAGGACGTACACCGTTCTTACCAACGATGCACCCAAGAAGTGGTATTTCGCTTGCTGCAAATATACACTTCTTGAGGTTTGCATACAATTGATGCTTTCGCATGATTGTAAGAACTTGTCGGACGTGGTACTTGTGAACCTCAACGTCCGACTTTCCATCCATAGCTCGACTATGGATGAATACGTCATCGAAATAACTCGGCGCGAATTCTCGTACTGGCCTCAACAGATGTGATACACATCTGTTGAACGTGGCAGGGGCATTACTGAGCCCTTGTGGCATTACTAGCCATTCCCAGAGCATGCCGCTAGGCGTGCTAACTGCGGTATAGGGTATATCCCGTTCCCGCATAAGGATTTGATAGAAGCCATCCATCAAATCCATGGACGAAAAGATGGTACTCTTTGACATACCATCAATGATTACGTCCTTCCTCGGTATCGGCGTCTGAGCCGGTACCGTTGCAGCGTTCAATTTGTTGAACGCGTGCACTATCCGCCACCCTCCTGTTGCTTTTCGCACACAGAAGGTCGGAGAGCTATGTGGGGAAGTTGATTCCCTCACATGGCCCGCAGCTAAACGATCGGCAAAGAACTTGTCGATCGCAAGTACTTGTTCACGAGGCAGTGGCCACTGCTTCATGACACAGTACTTCGAGCCTGGTTTAAGCTCGACCTCGTGTCGAATACCTTTATCCTTCGGTAATTCGCACGGAACAGTTTCAGGGAATACATCCTTGAATTCAACCAAATCTTCATAGAGAGGATTTTTCTTGAGCGATTCCCATGATTGGGAGTCATATCGCTCAATTCGTGTCTCTTTCATCTAGGACACTCTCGTCCATAGATGAACTACTGAGAACTCTCTCGTTCTCAGTGAACACTGTTGCTGACCTTATGTCGGTTACACACTCGTCGTCAGCGACGAGTATGCAGATCTGCTTGACTTTGCCACTACGCAGATCACGCAAGAACCTTTTATGTTCGAGCGTTGGCAACTGAGTGATCTCCGAAGTTAACTTCGGAGGCGCAATCAGATCAAGTGTATAAGCGCCTACACTTGATCCGTTATTGACTATGACATTCAATGTCTCTGTCATTTCCTGGGGACTTATTCCCTCAGGCTTCGAAGGACTTATTCCTTCGTCTTCCCGGGGACTTATTCCCGCGGGTTTCGGGGAACTTATTTCCGCCGTATTTGTAATCTTGGGACTTATTCCCTTTACTTCCTCTAGCTGGGGTTGCGCAACCACAGCGAGATCCTCTACGAAAGACTCTCCAGTCGATCTAGGATTATCGTTTCGCTTAACCTGAGCGATCGATTGTTTCTCTTCTAGATGTTCCCCTCTAGGGATACATCTTTGTCCCAGTCCACCCGACTTATTCGAGTGGTGGACCTTCGGCGCAGCCTGTGTTTCCTCACAGCCGCCGGAACTTTGCTCCGAAGTGTAACCGTTTGGTACACTAAGGTTTTGTGCAGTCGTACTAACGACCGTACCACAAGTGAGGCCATCGCACTCACTCGTAGTACATCCACACGCTTGTGGACGCTCCAAAACGTTCATCAGATGGCCATCTGATGAACAAGCGGCAGGCATCGTTACTGTCCGATGTTGCCAGTTTACCCGTGGTTCGTACCTTCTGAGCCACGGTATTCCAGGATGACATCAAATTTGTCATCCAAATCCAATACGATAAAGTCATCGTCGTATTGGGTATCTTCTAGCGTATAGTGAATCTTCACTATACGCTTCATGACGGTTACGGATGCGCCTGTCGCAAGACGTACCGTCATCCTCGTAGGAGGTGTGTCACATTCACTGAATTTAAAGTGACCATCTTCTAGCGATTGGCGTCGCACAAAATTGTTGGACGCCCCACAATCGACTAGAGCTCGAAGGGACAACTTATTCGTCACTTCGAGTTTCAAGGTAATGAGTGAGATCTCATTACCTAGAGCAGCAACGCACAATGTCTGTGTGTTGGGAGCAACCTTCATCAAGAGGCCTACAAATTCTCTTGACGTTGCTGGATCAGTAGGGTGCTCCGCACCTACTGATCCTGTCCGTTTTTTGACGGTCCATCCCGTTGTTGCGTCTTTGCACCAACTGCGGACCCTCGTCCCTGCCCCTTTCTCATGGGTGGACGGTCACTACGCCCAGTGTCGCGAGACACTGGACGAGGGGCACTACACTCGTAAGCGTAGTGTCCTGTCTTTTGACATCTGTTGCATCTCTGCAACTTCTTGTAGCCTGTAGAGCGAGCCTTCTCGCTCTCTACATAACAGAGTTCCATCGGCTCTGGACCTCCGTTGTCATATCGTCTCGGTTGACGATATGATGTCGAGCTGGCGCGAGCCTGTCTCAGACTGAAGTCTTCCTGCTCCGCAATTGAAATGGCTTGTTCTAGTGAATCTAGTTCAAGCCGGAACAGGTGAGTCTTGACGGGACCATCCGCAAGACCCTGCATGAACACCGAAACCAACGTGTGTTCATCCACCGGATGGAACTTATACAACTCGTGAGATGTCGTATATGTTGAGCGTAAGCGTGCACATCACGCTTACCCTGCTTGAGCTTCAAGAGTTCGGTTCGAGCTCTGAACTCAGCTCTAGGCGGTTCAAACGTTTGTCTGAGCCGCGACTTGAAGACTTCCAACGACCCAAACGCATATGGGTCGTGCAGCTTGAGCCCCAGTGCCCAAGTCTTGGCACGTCCTGCCAGATTTGACTGGGCAAATGCAACTTGCATATCCCCGTCGTCGATGCGACGCGCCCTTATGGCGTCATCCAATTCGACGAACCATCTCAAGAGGGAGTCTTCTTCGACCCCCTATACTTTGAGATGTCAATCTTCAAAGTCTCGGGCCGACGCGAGTGCATCGACCCGCCAGCAGCAGCCTGCTGCTGTCTCAACAGTTCAAACTGTTGAGCACCTTGTTCTCTCAACAACTCTGCTTGTTGAGAACCTTGTTGGTGAAGCAAGGCTACTTTCTCGCGTTCTGCGTCAAGTTCACTTTGAATGAACTTGGCGATAGTAGCATGTTGGGCATCTCTATTGAGAGCCTCTAGCATGACGCTAACAGCATGGATGCCCATGGTCGAACCCATTCGTTCAACCGCATCCCATTCGACATCGCTCAAATGGGAGTAGCCGTCACGCGTAGCGTGAAAGCTTTGGTCATCTTCATCATCCAACATATTCATGTTGGATGTGAACGCGGTCCTTGGACGGACTACAAAGTGCTACCAGGTGTAACGGGGCACCCTGAAGCTTGTACTGGTGACAGTACAAGCTACTTATTCTGATAACAGAATAAGGCGGTGCCTCGTAACTTCACGTACACTCGTACGTGCAGAGGAAGACGGTAAGAAGAAGCGAGTACTCGGTTAGAGTAAAAAGTAGAACTGTATTTATAATAGTTAATGTCTGCAATAAATCACTATTTATCTTCATCTAACTATGTCTAAATACAAATGTGTAAATCAGTTATCTGCTCACCACTCATTGCGTGCGTCTGTCGTGGCGCGTCTTCGTTGGTTGATATAATGGCCTATATCAACCAATTAGGAACTACTTGGAAGTGCTACAGAATATTGTCCTTATGACAATATTCTGAGAATATAACTCTTATAGTTATATTCTATTAACAATTTCTTATAAATTGTTATGTAACGATTCACCCCGTTACAGCCGGCGTGTCGGGGCTCAGCGCTGATTACTGCATTCGTTCGTGTCGAGTTGAATGAGCTGCTGAGTACTCGGAGGAGGAAGAAGAGGAAGAGAAGAGCGGCAGTGTAAAGGACAAGGAAGAAGACGACGAAGAGGAGACTAAAAGTCCAAGCAGGCAACAAGTGGGAGAGCCGTGATGGTCAATTGTTTGCAAGACAAGCAGACTATTGTACTCATGACAGGTTTGTCAAAGATGGATCGAAAGATACTTTTGCACTAAGGATCATTGCTGATTGACGAACGCTGGGTGTAGCATGACCAGTTCGAACAATGGCATTTACCACTTGCTACGAAAATGGCTGATCATGTATGAGTCATGATCGGCGATATGATCAGAATTTGCAATTATAGGTTGACAACCGATAATCTCCCAGTTTTAAATGACGCTACATGATTGGTTAATTTATAGACATGCTTTGAGGGAACTATATCACTACAACCGGTTTTTCAACATCTATTTGACCTACTTTGAAAAGTACGATTTATAAGCTCGGTATCCAACCTTGCACACAGTCACTGATGGCTTCATCCTTCAGGCTCACAACAAAATATTGAGCACAGATAATGACTTGTTGCTGCAGAGACCAGTCGCTTCCATTACAGCATATTCGCAACAGAAATACGGCTCTTAATAATTCATGCTGCTCGTGTTGCTTCTGAGAAGAGGTGGTGCAAACTTACCTTAGTGTAGCTACGCAATAACAAGAACTTCGAGGTGTCCATCGACTTCAACTGTAGACGAATGCTTCAGACTTCAGCTTTAGACGAACTACAACATGTAATCTCATTGACATTGCTGCTTTCCGACTCTGTCGCTATTGACATTCCCGCATAAACTCCAATGTACCTGACCCTTCCGCAGCTCTTGCACGGCTCACGATGCCGATAAGCACGTCCTACGCTAGTTGGGCCATGATAAGCGGTCCTAAGAATCCCCTTGGCATGACACTATGCCAGTCTCTTCTCCAGCGCAGAGCGTTCAGAAGTCCACAGCAAGGACCTCGGTACATTCCGGCTTGTTCATTTATAGCTTCGACGCAAAGTTACGTCCGTGGCATGTGACCGCCTTAAGTGGTTGAGTTCCACCCCCAAGACCATCCGCACAGCCGTAACAGGCAACCACGACTATATTCTCTGCTTACGAAAGCGCAACTAGATAAAGGAGATGACTCGCTCCAGTTCAAGCTCCAGCAAGTCGTACGATCGGTCGTGATCAGCGTTCTTGCAATGACAGGCCTCCTTACAACCCTGATCTAATCACCGTCATCGACGCTACTAACAACACAAGTGCTTACTGAGTCGTACTGGACTTCTCCAGCTATATGGTGCTCAAGTTTGTCGGTGTGACGAGGGATCTACTGCAAAAAAGTCCGTGCTGTTGGCTGCCTCGTGCAAACCTATTGCTGACGTCTTCGTGCCACGAGGTATGCAGTAATAATACCTCTACCCAGCCGAAGTGGCTTGAAATATCGACGAGCGCCGTAGTTGACACGAGCTTTGAGAAGTGGTCATGGGAGTTGAATTTGTAAAGCATTCGTCGTTGCTGTTGAGCTTCAGTTGATGTGGACTCTGGACGCAAACGTGACGGACTAAAAAGGCATTGAGACAAACAAGTTGACCGAGCTCTGTGCTTGTAATGGAATCGAGTGCAGCAACTGTAAAGGCACAAGAACCTTAAAACGTCCAGCAATACAAGAACAGGTTTTGTCATTAATTTACACGGGCTGGAGAGATTTTAGAGGAGATCAAATCTTCATACTCTCGTTGAACTGTCCGCAGAATCATGCAGACACTCGAGAATGATTTGTGCATTACATTGGACGTATAGTTAGATCTACATTTCTCATGTGAGCCCAACCAAGGAGTAATTTATCCAGGTTCGCACTTCAACTTTGGTTTAGTGTCAGACATTGTATAACGCCACTAAGCGACTGGCTACCACTCGTTTCGTAATGAATCTCTTCCCAACGCCAACTGTAAATGACAATGAGACTCGTTACTGCTTCTTCCTGCCTGCTGCTAATGCAAGTCCGACGTCCGACGAGTGTCTTCAGGAAGCAGAGAATCGATGCCGTGCGTTCCAGTCCTATGCAGCACAACAGACGGAGGGATTTCTATGGCACAAACATTCCTTTCATCTGCAAGTGCATCGAACCAGAGATGGGCGTTATATTCTGTCTGGATCGTCAGCTGTCGGCGATGCGATTCAAGACGAGTGGGTCGTGGCTAAATTGGTGTTTGACATCACCAATGAGTTCCCAGGTGTCGTGGGACGTATCGTGGACTCTGATGGAGAGTTTCTGCTCATTGAAAGTGCTGAAGCGCTGCCTGACTGGGTCACTCCGGAAACCTGCGATCGTCGGGTATTCGTGCTGAATGGAAAGCTTCACATTGCACCTCCTGCTCCTGCCATCCGGATCAGAAAAGAGAGGGATTTGTTTGACGACGATGCATTAGAGCAAGTGCTGGACACCAGCTTGAACACGGAGGCCAGTACTGCGGTGCAGCAACTCATTCAGTGTAAATTGGACGAAATACCGACCTACATGCGTGAAAATCGTCAAGCAGTGCACTGTTTATTACCGGAGAGAGCTGCCCGAGTGCTTCTAGTGAATAGAGAATTGGTGGGTCCAGCAGTTGAAGCATTTTACTATCGAGAGCCGACACAGGCCGGTCTTGTGTGTAACAAGATGGCGACGTTCATGCCAGCAGGTGATGAAGTGGTAGAGATGAGAGTCACCTTCTCGAGAGCAATGTTTGCTCAGCTCAAGCAGCAAACGTTCTTTCCACCAAAGCTTTTTCTTCGTCGTGATGCACGTTATCGTGTAAAGGAGAAGAGTGCAAAGGGCGTAGAAGATGCTGACCGTGATGCGCAAGCAGGAGATCTTGGCGTTAAACTTGCCTGTGGTCTGGAATTGCTCTATGTTGGTAACGGTGAAGACCAGCTGGGCCGACATTGGAAGCAGATAATCGAGGAATCGCTGCAGCAAACTGACGTTAAGGTGCCAATACAACCAATCTCTGAGCCGGAAGATGACGACTCATGGCTGTACCTACATCCTGACACGATGGAAAGTCGACTGGAGCGTGCTGCTAAAGCTAAAGACCCTTCTGTTCCTGGTGGCGCCGACGACTTACAGCACATGGCCGCTATGTTTGGCAATTTCGTCGATGGTGTTTCGGGTGTTGGTGGCGTGGAAGGACCACAACCTGTTCAATTCGATGTGAGCTCCTTTATGGACATTCTAGGTGGCCACAAAGCTAATGGTAAGGATGATGCAGGTTTGGATGCACCCTGGGGAGAGCACTTTATGGACGAGGATGAGTCCAGTCAAAGTGACAGTAATGATGGATCGGTTGGAGGAGGGAGCGACATTGATGGCGATTTGGCCTTCGAAATGAGTGAAATGGAAATGGCGCTTAAAGGAACCAAGGCTGCAAAAAGCTTTCGCTGTTCGGGCGACGCAGAGAATGATCAAGGAGACGTTGAGTTTTCCGCACGAGGAAGTGAGTCGCTCAAGCCGCTGGACCTGGATTACAATTTGCTGTCCAACTTGCTTGAGTCATTCGCATCTCAAGAGGGTCATCCTGGACCCGTCAGCACTATCCTAAACGAAATGGGATTTTCCAAGACATCACTATGAGAACTGTAGTCCAGTGCAGTTGACAATCCGCATTTAGCTGCTTTGGCGTCGCGAAAAGTAAACAACTGCTCAGCTGTCTACAGTGTCCCATCCCGCACATCTCGCACTCGATAATTTTCTTACTCTACATAATGCCGAGTATCTGTAGCTCTTATATTTAACAATACTAATGGGAACCTAGAATACACTTTTGCCAGAGTCATAATTTATACGTGTGCACGTCAGGTTCATTGTGTTTACAGACTAACATAGCTCAATCTTTCTGCTTCGACATGCCTCAAGGCGCTTCGAGATGCTCGTATAGATGATCCGGTTGCTCCCGACAACAACCCGATGGACGTTCGAGATCCAGCAGGGATCGCAACTTAAGGTTTTGGTGCTACTAAATTTCTTTGGTAGGTTTTCAATGCGTAAGCTTCCGGACTCAATGTGTTAAGCTTTCATCGAATCTATAGTCATTTGATACATAGCTTTTCTATAAGTGTTCAGTAATCTACCTATCACCAGGATTGCTTTCGAGCAAGTGCATAGACCATGTCACTGATACGACCATGATGCAAGACTTCGTACACGCTGGAACTGAACTGAAACGATGTTGACACGTGCGATTACTCATCGTGAACGCGTTACCACCATGCATATAAAGGGTTCCTGCTTGCCTAAGAACGCCCTCTACGGTGTCGATTGGAATACGACGGAAAAACACGATACTGCCTTTACACCCGATGAAACCAGGTAAGCACTGAACACATTGCGGTTCCGTGCCTTTTGCAATTTTTTGTAGGGAACGTGTCCAATGATCCCGTCCTGCAGTGTTTCGTGGGATATTC